GTTCTACATTTAATTTTTAAGAAGAAACAGAGAAAGTCATAGCAGAGCTTTGTTTCGCCAGACTTGATTTAGTAGTGCTGCAAATCAAGTGTTAGTCGTTGCATCCTAGGAAGTAGACACCGATGAATCTCAAAGTACCGGAGTGAAGGCAAAATCTACTTTAAGGAGATTGTGTCCAACACAGGTCTCGACGTTTAAAGTTTCTGTAAGCAGTTAATTTGAAATTTAATTTATTTAATTATTTTTTGAATTATTTTATTTTCTTATTTATTTTAATTGTACATTTAATTTATACACACACCATTGTGGGAATAACAATTATTTGTGTTTACGGTTTATATGGGTATTATTACTCATCTATTTTTCTGTTTCAAATTAACGTTTTGGTGTGATGGGAGAGGATTAGAATGTTTTGATTGATTGTTGATTTAGAAATTCTAATTTATGTTGTGAAATTTTATGGTTAGGGCTTTTGAATAATGGGTGCTCTTGTTGGTTTATTTGAATCACGCAATGCAAGCCAAGTTTTGGCATTATTGATCGTTTTGTTCATCTGGGTTCTTTGATTTGACAACATGAAATGGAAGTTTGGGTTAAGGTTTTAATGGATTTTTGCTTTTTAGTCTTAGTTCGTAGTTTGAATTGAAGCTTTGTTGAATTGAGAGTGGATTGATCAATGTAGGGTTTATCAATGGCACTATCTGTATGCTCTATTCTCTAATTGAGTCAAAATATAATTTTTTTTAGTTTGATCAAAATATAGAGAAAATTATGAGTAAATTAAAAAAAATTAGTCAAATCATAAAGAAAATCTTGAGCAAACCATAGAGAAATTTGTGAGTAAATAAGAGAAATTTCAAAACTCAGAGAAAATTAGATAAATTGAGCAAAACGGAGAAATTTCAAAACACAGAGAAATTTATCTGAAAATTTTCTAGATCGAAATTTCGTTGTATCAAAATTTCTTTGTAAAAATATTGAGAGACCCTAACTATTATGAAAATATTATATATCATTTATGTTATAAAATCTTAATATCAAGGATTTGAAAAAAAAATCCTCATAAATGTTTTCCATCAATCTAAAATTATTTTCTAAACTTCACCTGTAAACGTTATTTATCCTAAATTTTGTACAAAGGGTTGATTTATAAATGAAAAATTATCTTGTAAGTTTAGCCGACTGTAAAATTAGAGTTGAGACTTTTAAAACAAAACGATCAATTTCAAATATACATAAAAGTTTGTGATAATAACAATTTTAAATTATATCCATTTAATTGATTTTTTATTTAATGTGAAAATTATATCTTTTTGTTTTCTTTTTTTTTTAAACATATAAAACAGTTATATTAAAAAACAAATCAATAGACAAATTAAGAAAAAAATAATAAAATCTTAAAAGTCCAAACAAACAACCTATGAAGAAATACCACCCCCCCCCCCCCCACAATCCTTCCAATTTTGAAAACACCCCCACAATAATTTCAAAAATTTTAAACTCAAAATACACCACAAAACTCAAAATATGATTTAAAAAAGTAAAATTTAGATCAAACCTATCGTTAAAGCTGTGCAAAATATTTCTAAATCCGCACCGATCTAAATCAGTCCACACTGCTCTATCAAAATTGCTCTGCTCCGCTATAATTAATGCATATATATTTTTTAACATTTAATAAAATATCAAAGTAAAAATGAGTATGAGAGATTTAAGATATAAAGTTTATTACAAATTTGTAGTTATATATATGAAAAATATTGTGTAAAATTAGTTTGTGTTATATATATGAAAAATATTATACAAATTAGTGTTATATATTTTGCAAATACTTGATAATTGGTTGGAATATTTTTCAATCCGTCCAAAACCGTCCAAATCACAATTTATCGATATACCAATCCTCTTTCAATTTATAATTTTACGCTTAAACCGCCCGAACAGCACCGCGCATACCTCTACCTGTTGTAATCATCAACGTCATTCCCGTCATCGCTACCCAACTTCGCCACCATCATCGCCAAACTCCGAACATCCTCAGAAGTCAGAATTGAAGAGGCAAAACACCCATAATAATATGAAAGAAGGATTGAGAAACGAGAAAATCATTGTGTCAAAAATCTAAAAAATTATGCAAAAATTGAGGAGGTGAAAAATTATTCGTATTTTGACAACACACTAAAAAAGTCAAAAGCCAGCTTTTAATCCATTTTGAGTCACATCACCTCTCACATGAAACAGTAAAAAAAATCAAAAAAAATTAAAAAAATCAACTTTTAATTATCTTTTCAAAACACCCCTTAGGGCATGTTTGATTGGAAGGATTAGAGTAAGGGATTGTGATTATTAATCCATGGGCCCAATTATCCCATGTTTGTTTTGACAATTTGTTTTAGGATTATTAATCTAATGGATAATTAATCCAACAAATTTGTAGGATTATTAATAATGGGGTAGGGATGAGATTGTGAATACCACACTAATTTGATAGGATTATTTATACCTCACTATTACTCTTGTGGAATCAAACAAAGCCTAAGGTACTAAAATTAGGTACAACTTTTTGTATATTTAAATTTATTTTTATTTGTAATCTATTAATATTAAAATAGTAAAATGTGGCCCTTATTTCCATTTCCGAATTATTCTGAGAATGTATCACTGTCACCTACAATTTAAAATTAGGGAAATTACACTTTGCTCTCCTAAAATTTTACTCATTTCTCACTTTGACTCTTTAAGTTTAATTTTTCTCACTTTAGTCCTTTATGTTTACAATCATTCCCACTTTAGTCCTTCATATTTGCAATCCTTTCCACTTTGACTCCTTAAGTTTGATTTTTCCCACTTTACCACTTCATATTTGTAATCCTTCCCATTTTAACCCTTCATGTTTGCAATACTTCTCACTTTACTCCTAAACTAACTTCCATAAAAAAAAGTAACAAAATTTGTCACATCACTAACACATCAGCTCCATATGTGATATAAAAAATTCACTAAAGATGCAATTGAAGAGGCAAAACACCCATAATAATATGAAAGAAGGATTGAGAAACGAGAAAATCATTGTGTCAAAAATCTAAAAAATTATGCGAAAATTGAGGAGGTGAAAAATTATTTGTATTTTGACAACACATTAAAAAATTCAAAAGCCAGCTTTTAATCCATTTTGAGTCACATCACCTCTCACATGAAACAGTAAAAAAAATCAAAAAAAATTTAAAAAATCAACTTTTAATTATCTTTTCAAAACACCCTTTAGGGCATGTTTGATTGGAAGGATTAGAGTATGGGATTGAGATTATTAATTCGTAGGCCCAATTATTCCATGTTTGTTTTGACAATTTGTTTTAGGATTATTAATCTAATGGATAATTAATCGAACAAATTTGTAGGATTATTAATAATGGGGTAGGGGTGAGTTTGTGAATACCACACTAATTTGATAGGATTATTTATACCTCACTATTAGTCTTGTGGAATCAAAAGTACTAAAATTAGGTACAACTTTTTGTATATTTAAATTTATTTTTATTTGTAATCTATTAATATTAAAATAGTAAAATGTGGCCCTTATTTCCATTTCCGAATTATTCTGAGAATGTATCATTGTCACCTACAATTTAAAATTAGGGAAATTACACTTTGCTCTCCTAAAATTTTACTCATTTCTCACTTTGACTCTTTAAGTTTAATTTTTCTCACTTTAGTCCTTTATGTTTACAATCATTCCCACTTTAGTCCTTCATATTTGCAATCCTTTCCACTTTGACTCCTTAAGTTTGATTTTTCCCACTTTACCACTTCATATTTGTAATCCTTCCCATTTTAACCCTTCATGTTTGCAATACTTCTCACTTTACTCCTAAACTAACTTCCATAAAAAAAAGTAACAAAATTTGTCACATCACTAACACATCAGCTCCATATGTGATATAAAAAATTCACTAAAGATGCAAAAAATAAAAACAAAAAAAATTAATTTTTTTTTAGTCTCTAGCGAACTTTTTTTTCAAATTTATTAATAAACATCATTACATTATAGTTGCATCTAAATTAGATGCAATTAAAAAAATAAGGATAAATTACATTGACACCCCCTGAGGTTTAGTTTTATTACAGTTCCCCCCTCACATTTTGGAAATTACATCCCCTTCCTTGAGATTTAAAGTTTCATAACAGTTCTCCCTCTCACCGTAATGATCATCATACATAAAATTAAATTAACAGGGGGGTTAGTGTAATTTCTCAAATATGAAGGGGTGAACTGTAATAAACATAAACCTCAGGGGGTGTCAGTGTAATTTATCCAAAAATAAAAACAAATTTAGCTAAAAAAAGAAAAAAGTTCACTAAAGACGAAAAAAACAATAGTAACTTTTTTATTTTAGAATTGATAATATAGGTGTTTGAGTTAGTATATTTTTATTTTTTTCGTCTTTAGTAAATTTTTTTCTTTTTTTAGTTAAATTTGTTTTTATTTTTTTAGTTACATTTAATCTAGATACATTTATAATGTAATAATAGTTATTAATAAATTTGAAAAAAAAAGTTCATGAAAGAATAAAAAAAATCCCAATTTTTTTGTTTTCTATCTTTTATTTTTTACATCTTTAGTGAATTTTTTACACATGGAGCTGATATGTTAGTGATGTGGCAAATTCTGTTAGTTTTTTGGATGGAAGTTAGTCCATAAATAAAATGGGAATGATTGTAAATATGAGGGACCAAAGTGGAATGGATTGTAAATATGAAGAATCAAAGTATGAAAAATTAAACTTAAAGGTCAAAGTGGAAAGGATTACAAATATGAAAGGTCAAAATGAAAAATATTAAACTTAAAGGATCAAAGTGAGAAATGAGTGAAATTTTAGGGGGCAGAGTGTAATTTACCCATTTAAAATTACAAAAGTGAGAAATGAGTGAAATTTTAGGGGGCAGAGTGTAATTTACCCATTTAAAATTACAATTCTAATGTGCCCTTCGTTTTCACATAGAGAAACAGTCAGATCGCTAGAGAGAGAGAGAGAGAGAGAGAGAGAGAGGGCCCTGTGATTCGCGCGCATGTTCGCTGTGCTAAAACCCTAGAATTCTTTGGTTCAGTAGCGAAGAAAGATTGAAAATGGTGGACAAGAAGATCAGGAACGAGGCTAGCAGTAGTAGCAGCAGCATCAGTGGAAGCAGCAACAGAGGCGAAAGCGTCGTAGTCAATGTTGGCCCCCGCCAAAACTCTTGCGGTTATTGTAAATCCTCTGGGCCCTCCAGTATTTCTCACGGTAAGTGATTCAATTATGAATATGGGTTTCTGTTTGATCCAATAATGAAGCTTTTGTTTGATCGATTTCCTGAATTTTGCATTTCTTTTTGCTTAAGTTGAAATGATCTGGGGATTTTGTATAGGTAGCTAGAATAGTTATGCTAATTTGAAAATACAAATATTTTTTCAACCAATACTAAAACTTTATTGTTCAATTTCTGTTTCTGGGTTTCACCAAAAAAAAATGTGGGTCAATTGCATTTATGGGTTTATCTTTCAAGATTACTCTGCTTTTGAAATGACTGTCTATTCATCATTAAGCCATTTCATTTCCAATTAAGAGCATAAAAGATAGAATTCTGCACTGATGAAGTTTGTCCTCCAGTGCCATAAAAAATATAATTCATTTGATCGGTGTCGTGTCGAATGCTTCTGAAAGTTTTCTTTATATGGATTTCAAAGTCTCCTACATGTGGTTGACAATTTTTATTTTTAAAAAATAAAGCGAAATTTTGAATAATGTCTATGGGGAAATAATAATTCTTATCAATCATATACATTGGCCCTCATACTTATCCCAATTTGATGCACTAAACAGCAAGGTGGGGTCACTGAGTGGCATTTTTGTGCAAAATCCCAGATTATAATCAAAAGTTCAATATCTTGCTTAGAAGTCTTTGCAGCACTTTGAAATAGATGGCTTGATGGGAGGAAATCTATCTTCATCTGAAAAATTGTTCCACTTTTTAGTTTGAAATTCATGTTGAAATTTTCTGCTGATTATCTAAATTGAATTTATTCTGATGCAAAGGAATTTTTGAATTGTGATATCTGATTGGCCAAGGGAAGGGGATTAAAATTTATACCTCTCTTTCATGTTGTCTCTTAAGCATAAAACACAGACGTCCATCTAAAATGTTAAAAAAGGAGCCACAAATATTAGTTCTTGTGTAAAGCACACTTGTGGAAAAGGGTTTATTGTATGAGGTTTGAATTCCATTTAAACTGTTTTGAGTGTTCATTAGTGAATAATTATGTACTATACTTCTCTATTTGTTCGTCCTAAGCCGTTACACGTTGCCTTAGATAAAGGTTTATTTGTAGTTTCTTTTTCAGTAATTTGTATGCCTCCATTTTGCAGGTCTACGGGCACGTAGTTTGACAGTTGATCATTATCAAGGTTGGTAACTCTTGCTTCTCACCATGTTTAATTAGTCAAGACTTGGTACACATACTGCATATTGGAACCATAGTCGGAAGTCAATATGGTTACTTTGTCTTGCCTTGAACCTGTTGCTGGAATACTTAAATAATCGTATCATTAAAATCAAATGGTTCTTATTGTCACTCCAAGAGTTGGACTCAACTCAAGTAGGCATTGTATCGTTTGCCTCTTAAGAATTTCATTGTTGGTTTTCTCTCTCTCTCACACACACACGTGCGGGCGCGTAAAAATAGAATAAAATAAAACTAGAAAACTGTGTTGAGACTCTCTTATTAGGGCATGAATCCAAATATGAAATGAGATGTTCATTAATTAATTCGTATTTAGTGAAGGTGGTGGGTTGTGATGTTCATTCATTAACAATGAGATGTTTTGGCATTGTTTTGTCCTCTACAATAAATGGATAGCTGTTGATTAAAATGTATTTGTATTCACTGGCTCCAATATATTTTTGCCCTATAGCCCTTCTTGACAGAGGTTGGAGAAGATCTGGCTCTTTCCTTTACAAACCTGAGATGGAAAGCACATGCTGCCCTTCTTATACTATCCGTCTGAAGGCGAGTGATTTTGTCCCTTCCAAAGAGCAACTTCGAGTGTCTAAACGGATGCAAAGGTATTTTCATATTGTTTCTCTAGTTTTCAGATGCTATGTCATTTTTGTGTGTGTATATATATATATATATATATATTAATACATGCATCTATACGTAGATGAGGTTTCTAATGAATCTGAGACTTTTGATGAATCATCATCAAAGTTGTGTTTGAAGATATTTCATTTTCTAGGGACTAATTTAAATGAACTCTGATTTATTTGATGAGTAGGCACTGATGTTCTTTAGAGCATTGGTAAAGTTCACATTAGTTATGAGGGTACCAGCCAAGGAGAGATCATGTTGAAATATTTGTCATCTTTGGTTTTTAGAGTTGTGTGGAAAATTGCAATATACTCACAGAATTCTTCTTCTAAAGTTATTATATGAGTTTGATTGGATTTCAAACTAGCTGCTTTTGATTATGCTCCATAGACACTAAGCAATTTGGTGATGCCTGTTCATTGTCAAGTTTGGCATAATAGATGTCGGCTTTTACTATAGAAAAATTCTATATTTATCTCTTTTAAGAATGACGTTACACTAAAATACTGATGGCAGTAATGACTAACTAATAGGTTTCTATGTGGAACATTGGATGTGAAAAAGAGAGATAAGTTCAGAAATGAGCCAAATGCTTCTCAGGGTTCATGCAGCAGTGCACCTAATGAAATTAGAAGCTCAGCAGCAAGGGAATCATTGGCAGGTAAAAATGAAGAGAAGAATAAAGCTGAACAATTTATGCATTATTTTTCGGACCAGATTGATAATGCAGTACAAGTATTTGTTGGAAGTGGAGAGTGTCCTTGTGACATTCAATTACCAAAAGCTTCTATTAAAAAAGTTGCACCATCCAAACGGAAGTTACTAGTTGAAGGATCTGAAGATCTCTTGTTCTCCAGCAATATTTCTTTCCAGATTGCAGCTGCTTTAGGGCGGGCAGAGAAGGACGGATACAATTTAAAGTTATCAAGAAATAGTGCACAAAAAAATGGCCAGTCTCTTGAGCTTTCCTCGACAATAATTGCAGAAAAACTATCAAGTTCATTAAATCAGTTGGCAGAAAGCTCTGGTCTGTCAATCAGAGCCTGCAATGGGCACATTAACTTCTATTCTGCTAAAAAACGAGCTTGGTCAGACGAAGTGGTTGAAAGTGTTTCTATCTCTAAAGAGTCTCCTACAAACAGTGGAATTAAAGGGAGTTGTTCAAAGGAGATCTCTGAATTTCCTCAGGGAGAAAGACGGAAGCTTGAGTTTCGTTTGAAAAGATCAAGTTTTGATCCAGAAGAATTTGCCTTGTATAGGAAATACCAGATTAAAGTGCATAATGATAAACCATATCATGTCACAGAAAGCTCATACAAGAGGTTTTTAGTTGACACTCCCTTAATATTTGTTCCATCAAATGGCAATGATACAGTTCCTCCTTGTGGCTTTGGTTCATTCCATCAACAATATGTGATTGATGGCCAGCTAGTTGCAGTTGGTGTGATTGATATCCTTCCTAAATGTTTGTCAAGCAAATATTTATTTTGGGACCCAGACCTTGCCTTCTTATCACTAGGAAAGTATTCGGCCCTGCAAGAAATATCTTGTGTGAAAGAGAATCAACTCAGTTGTCCTAGCCTCGAGTATTATTATCTGGGCTATTACATTCACTCCTGCATCAAAATGAGATATAAAGCAGCATATCGCCCGTCTGAGCTTCTCTGCCCTCTTCGTTACCAGTAAGTTCTTTATCTGCATTATATAACTGGCCAACTAAATTTGCTGGGTGTAAAGTTTATTGGTATTCCATGAATTATTGAGTATCACTGTAATTTTTGTGCTAAGATACTGTATGTTTAGAGCAACTTGCTCCTAAGTTTTGGAGTACATTGGCTTGCGAAATCTTCTGTTCTGTTATGTCACATGCATATTTAGTTGTTTATGTTTGTGGCATGATAGCCCTATGTCAAGTAACTAGTCTTGTAAATAAATGCTGCCTACCAAATTAATGACCTGATGGTGTGGTTGATGGGATACCTTTCTAAATTGATATTGCCCAAAGCTCAACATTACTAAGCAATTAGACTTCAGTGTGGGAGGTTTTAGATTGATCTGCCCTTTGCCAAAGCTTAAAGCACTTTTGCAAATAAACTCAACTGTGGAAGGATTTGAAAATAAGGCCTTGTTTGTCATGTACTAAAAAAGTCAAAAAGTCAAAAAGTCACTATCCTATTTAAGTCACATCATCTTATTTAAATCACATCACCTCTCTACTACATCACTTCAAATCCAACCCAAACCCAACCCATATTTCATAAAAAGTCAAAAAGTGCACTTATTTAGAACATTCCAAACCATCCATAAGTCTAAAAGGTTGTGAACAGCTACACAATGGACATTGGGTATTTTCTAATTTTTCAACAGGAGTGATCATCGGCATTATGAGCTTGAGTTTGTCTGATTTTTGGTTTGATTGAAGTTAAGAGAAACAAAATGTGTTTTTCTCTGACCAACTTGCGCTTATCATTCATTTTGCCTGATGTTCACTGCTATTAATTAACTTAATTTTGCATGTTTCTGTCATGTGTTCATGTTACTGTGGCATTTGAAGTTTTAGATTGGGCCATCACGGGCTTCTTGCTTTCTTTTTTTGAACTCTTTTCTGACAAGTGTATAATTTCTTGGGGAATTACACTGACACTATTGTCAGTAAAAAGTATTCACAAAAAAATGAAAAACATTATAAATATTAATAATTAATATTATTAACTCTTTTACTAATATGTAATAATTTTTTGAAACTTACACTAAATAATAATTTCCCCTAATTTCTTCTGCAGGTGGGTGCCATTTGATATCGCAAGGCCGTTGCTTGATAGGAAACGGTACGTCATCTTATCTGATTTTGCCACTTTACCAAATGAAGAGCCCTCAGCACCTAAAACACTTGAAAATGATATGGAACTGCAACATGATGACCCTGCCCAAGAAGACATGAATGATATTCCTATTGATGAAGACGAAGAAATGGATGAACCTGATTTTGAAGATTCTGATGATGAATCAGGCTCAGAATACAGTGGTTTGACTTATGCGCAATTGGAAGACGGAAGTGTCAGTGATATTTTGATTGGGTTAAAGGGATCTCGCCTCAGATATAAGGTACATATATACTCAATGTTCTGGTGCATACAATTACTTTGGATGCGTTGAATTATCTCTGTCGTGCAGATTGTGGATTTATGTCTCTACTTGATACATACCCACTCAATCTAATGCTCCATTTGGTTGAAAGGATGCAAAACTGTATTCATCTTCCTCGTGCTTCCCAAATTCCCTTTTGAATTAGACTTCCTCATAGGGAGGCCAAAAAATAAATATATAAAAACAAAAACAAGAGGAGATAATTTTTGGCTGGGTTTTCTATTTTTATTTTCTTTTCCCTTGTTTATCTTTCTCCTTAATTGTCAAGGCACGTGACACGACACGGACACAACAACATGCTGATTTAAAAAAAAAATGTTGTACACGACATGCTTGGAACATATTAAAATTTATATTTTTGCAAATTTATTGTCATTCATATAAATAACTTATTTAAAGATAATAAAAAAATATTTAACATAACCTTAATTAGATTTGAAATTTATATCATTCACATAGTGGTTACATTCTAAAAAATACAAAACAATTGTAGAACATTGTAATGAATATGATATATTTATCTTATAAATATTTCCAAACATATTTAGGCCTTGTTTGGCAAGTGGTTTTTTTAGCCAAGAAGCCAAAAAGTCACTACAAAAATAAAAAAGCCAACAACTCGTACTAAAAAGTCAAAGATTCCTTTTTCTCTCTATTTTTTGCACATTTTTTTGTAAAAAGTCAAAAAGTCATCTCAAGCATATTAGTTTTTTTTTACATCACATTTAGCTAAAAAGCCAAAGTTACTAAAAAAGCGTGTTCCCAAACGAGACCTTAGAATGCACAAATTATGTTATGAAAAATGCAAAACATTGTTATTATGAAGAGATTCATCACATAAGACATGTTTGGAGGGGTCAAAAAATGCTGGAGAAGTATCTGTAAAGTGTCAGTAAATTGTCTGATATTATGAATTTGATTTCTTTAATTAAGACACATTGAAGAGGTGTCTGACATGCTTTTAGGAGTGTTTAAATAGTGTTGGTGTTCGTACACGACACACTACCTCTGCAGAAGTTTTTGTGCTTTTTAAGTCCATGCCTAAATCATTGCTGGTGTTGAGACTTGATCATCTGTCTGCATAGATGTCTCCCAACTTTGTAGATGGATTCTGCTTCATATTTATGAAACCTGTGGGTATTCCCCATGTGTGTGATGGGTTTAACCCTTACGAAACCTTTGTTGGGTATATTGTTTTTCCCGGTAACTTGCCCGGGTTGATTTGAAAATATATGCAAATGATATTTTGTGCAATCCCTTTTTTTGTTATCATGGTTTAATGCAATTGTCACCGTGTTCTTTTTGTTTGAAGGATCTACAACATGCAATCAAACCCTCGAGAAGGAGTTACATGGAAACCGAGTTGTGTAGATACATGAGAGCTGTGGGTACAGTGCTTTCTAAGCAAATGGTTTATTCATTTGAGTGACTTGACAACGATCTCAATCTCAAATAACATATTTATATTCCACTGTTGGAACTCAAATATTTCTGCTGGTGATCAAATTGGGAACCAAAATGTAGCTGTTAAAGAGTTCTTCTTCCTGAGGATTATTCCGATATGTGAACAATTACATATTTGAATTCCAGGTTCATATGGTGGATTGAATAGTTGGTTTCGTAAGTTTTCTGGACTTGGGAGAAATAAGTCTTTTGGATGTAGATATGTTTTATTCTCTCTTTCTACCCTTTTTTAACACAAGTTCCACCCTTGAGGTACTAAGGAAAATGGTATATTTTCCCAACCTTCATTGCTTTTTCTGAGGTATGATTTATTCATGAATGTTTCTCTAACAGTCTGTTTGGTATGAAGGAAAGATGGAGGGCAGAAGAAAGAAGAGTGGGATGGTTTTTGCTAGGTCTACAGATTTGCAGTTCACTCACTTTAGGTTGTGTTTGGATTATTGATTTGGATAGAAATTTGAATAGGGAATAAGAAAATATGAGTAAAATATAAGTTTAATTAATTTTATTTTATTTTTTTTTTAAATTTTTTTCAGAAAGAAGGGGTAGGCTCACTTCCACTTTTTTTTTTTGTCGTTGGCTTCAGTCTAGGCCCACGGGTGTTATTACATCATCCTCAATAGGGGTGAGCAGCGGATATACCGATTTACTCAAACCGACCGAATCGAATCAATCCGCTACATTTCGGACGAATGCGTGATGACGAGCGGACGGTTACGAATTGAATTTTTTCAATCCGTTTAATTTTGGACGGATGGCGGATTTAAAGTTCTTCTGGTCGCAATTGAACTGCTAAATTGCGAGCATCCCTTATAATTTGTAAGATTTTGTGTTTTCAATTTGCTTACATATTCTATTTATGTTTTCAATTGAAAATTAGTTCTGTTAAATATGTTTTGTTGAAAAAGAATTTTCAACTTGAATATATTTTTTGAATTGAAAAAAATAAATGTATTATTTATCTATATTTTTTAGTATTTAAATTTAACTCTAAAAATAATAAATAAAATAGATGATATATGTTGGTTGGTTTTTGTTTTCAAAAACAGATATAGATGTAACAATATAGAGGTATATAATTTCTGTTACTGCTCTGTTTATGGTTTTGGTGGTTTTAATTGTTTTTATATTTTAAAAATCATAGATTGTAATACTTTGTGGATGAAGTATACTGTGATTGTAATATGTGAATGAGGCATGCAGAGATTGTAATACATTTTTAAGTCGTTGACTGTAATTTTTTTTTTTTGAAGAAGAAGTGCACAAGTTGAATTATGTTAGAAATTTATTAAATTTTAAACTGTCAAACCGATTTGTATTTATCCGTCAATTCGCTCAATTCACATCTGTCGTATTAGCGGACAAATGCGAATTAATTTTTTCTAATCTATTAATCTAGTAGATTGACGATACATTAAAAATTTCATGGCCGCGTCCACTCTGAATCCTCAATGTGAGTTATATGTTGGGGCCAAGATTTTAAAGTTAGAAAAATGGGCCTCAAGATTCTTACAGCCCACGTCGTCTTTTTCTTTTGAGGAAAGATGGGACACGTGTTGGTGTAGGAGTGCAAGGCCTCAATGCAATGTGAGAAGTGGCCCCTGTTGTCGGCAAAGGTCTTGTTTGGTTTGTATTTGAGAAACATGTTTTGAGATAAAAAGTACGAAAATTTGTTTGGTTTGATTTTTTTTCAAAAGATGTTTTGAAAAATTATTTTAAGAGAGTTTTAGAAAAAGTGATTGATTTGATGTGTATGAGAGAGAGATTTATTTGGAAAATTTGTAAATCAAACAAGTTTTGGAAAAAAAATTTGAGAAAATTTGTTTGGTTTGATTACTTTTGAAAACTTATTTGTAGAGAATTTTTCTCAAAATTTTTTGAGAAACACAAACCAAACAAGGCCTTTATTTTTTGAAAAATATCAGCATTTCAAATATTTTATCAAATATTTTATCTGGATGTGCACTCACCTTCTATGTGATGATGACGTGAGGCTTATATTCATATGAGATATTTATTAAAATATTTGATAAAATATTTAGAATCCTTAAGAGTATGTTTCTGTTTAAAATATAAATTTTAATTTTAAATTAAAAATATATTTTTTATGTTGTTTAAGTAACAAAAGTATTTTTTATTATGTCCATTAATGATTATAGGTTCAAATGTTGTAGTATTTTTTATGTAACTACTATGACTAAGTTGTTCACTTCTATTAATAATATTTATTTTTTATTTAAAAATATCAATGTGGTTTAGATTTATTAATGTTATACATCAATTCAATCTTATTCATGTTTCAAATTTCCCGGCCAATTCTGATCCCTTTTTCTGGACAGTAAATTACTCATACTACAATGGTTTTGGGACAAGTACTCTAATTTGTATTTTATTGACTGAAATAGGTTTTTTTTTTTTTTTAACTAGGAAAAAAGGATTCTGTGGTATCATCATGGCCCTGTTGGGCCCTGATCCTGGGGTAATCGGTTGCCAGTCAGGAATTAACCCCCACCAAGTGAGGGACCCACCATTAAGGCACTAATGAAGCGTGAACACAGGCCACAGCAGTGGACAGGAGTTGAGGGGATTTACAGAACGTGTTCACCGAAGTGATTTCAAACACTCCCTCCCTAAAAATCGACCTTGGCACGCAACTGTAGAATGCCTCACATCCTCCACCAGGCCACCAACCCTGGTGGTATTGAAATAGTTAGACCTATCAATTTTTTTGTTGGGTTTTTTTAAGAGACAACAAATCCCAAAGTAATAGGTTGGGTTTTTTTTAAAGAGACAACAAATCCCAAAGTAAATGGCAAAGTAATGTTGAAGACTACTAAACAATTTCTCTACTATTATTTTAGTTACTTATTGATTATTTAGGTCTCGTTTGGTAACCAAACAGGTCGGTTTAGTTAAAAAGTTAAAAAGTTAATTATAAAAGTCAAAAAACCAACAACTCATACTAAAAAAGTCAAAGATTCTCTTTTCTCTTTACTTTTTGCACATTTTTTTGTAAAAAGTTAAAAAGTCATCCCAAACATACTAGTTTTTTTTAACTCATATTTTAGCTAAATAATCAAAAAGTTACTAAATTAGTCTGTTCCCAAACGAGGCCTTATTAAGTATAAATAAATAAATTCTTAATAAAATTCATCTCTATTAGGAAATTTGTAAAAAAAAAAAAATCACATTTTTTCGGTTTTTTTTTTTAAATTTTTAATGTTTAGTGCAATTTGTTTTTAAAAATTGCATTAATTTTTTTTAATTTCCAGGTCATTCTAGTTTATAAGAATCTAAAATTTTAAATAAATTTAAAAAAATTAAAGACAACAAAAAGGACCTCGATTTTTTTTAACATTCTCCAAATGCATAATGATTTTATCTTTAAAATATAAAGTAAAAAAAATAATTGTCAAAATCTGAATAACACCACTTTGAGAAAGGCAATGGGGTGGTTCATAAACATCCACCTAACTCGTATATATTTTAATAAAAATATTAGAGATTTCAAAAAAATTTATCACGATTTTTATCAAATATCTCATATGGGTATGAGACTTACATGGTATGGATCTCACTTATATCACACCCATGTAAAACATATAGTAAAAATTTGAATAGAACTTCTAAAATTTCTAACATTACTCATATTTTAAAGCATATTGGATAATTGGCTTGGTCATACATTATCAAGTTTGGTGGAACCACATGAATGTTATTATAGGACTATTTGGTATAGTTTATTATTAGTTAAAAATTAATAATTAGAAAGCAGAAATCAAAAGTATCTCTCCCTTCGCTTCTAAATAATTAATTTATTTAAGTTATTTTTATCTAACAAGTTACAAGTCTGTACTAAATATTCTGACACTGACTCTCAAATTAAAAGAATCTATAATCAACCTCTTCAAACTATAACAAGCAACCCCTATAACAGTTTGGTGCAATTTATGTTAAGAGTCTGTAATACTAGACTGTTTGATATAATTTTTTATTACACTTTATTAGGCAAAAATATTTTTGAAAAACTAAAAAAAAAAAAACTAATTATCCAAAAATTAGAAGAATGGTACTTTTAATTTCTACTTTTTGAATTATAAATTCTTAACTTACAATAAATTATACCAAACAAACCCATTGCTTGCTAGAGAAGTAGCATTAGGGCTAAGTTTGGCAAGTTGTCAAAAAGTTAAAAAGTCAAAAAGTTACTCAAAAATTTAAAAAGTTATCACTATTCATCAAAAGTTAAAAATTATGGCTGCACAACTCCCAATTCTAATTTTTTCCTACACACTAATTTATACAATTTTTTAATACACATTTTTCTATAAAAATCTATAAAAAGTCAAAAAGTTAACCCAAACATCCATATTTTTTTCCTCAATTTTTTAGTCCAAAAAGACAAAAAGTACACTTATTTAGGATAGTCAGAACCCCCAAACTTCACTCAAAACTGTGATGGCGTATGATGTAAACATTCACATTGTGTCATCAATGCCCAAGTTGTTTGTGTTATTGGGTGTAGTTTGGTGCTGTTGGTTCCCCCCCTTTTATTTTTAGCAAATTATAACATAATGTGATCACCCATGTAAGCATTCACATTGCCCCGTAACTGTTGTCGTGTTCGAAATTTATTTCTCAAACATGGATGATGTGAACATTAACATTATTATTGAGTACTGGGTAAACTTAGAGTAGTACACACTGATGTGATGTGAATGTTCACATCATGTGAATGTTCACATTAATGTCAGAACCCCCAAACTTCACTCAACACTGTGATGGAGTATGATGTAAACATTCACATTATGTCATCAATGCCCAAGTTTTTTGTGTTATTGGGTGTAGTTTGGCGCTGTTGGTTCCCCCCTTTGATTTTTAGCAAATTGTAACATAATGTGATCACCCATGTAAACATTTACATTGCCCAGTAACTGTTGTCGTTTTCCGAATTTATTTTTCAAACACGGATGATGTGAACATTCACATTAGTATTGATCACCCATGTAAACATTTACATGTGCTCATTTGAACACACAGGTCTTCCCCATAAAGTTGATGGCAAGCGAAAGCGAGGGGAATCCCGTTCCAAAACCAAGCCTGATCAAACAGCTGTTCCTGAAGAAGTGAACATGAAAAAAGTAAACTACCGGTCAAATATAACTGGATTGGTCAAACTGTTAAAGGATACAAAATTTACAAGTGGCCAATTGAAGTGCCTTAGAAAAACACCGTTCTGGCCATTATTTGATAGCTTGATCAGTAACGAAATCGACCTCAACCACTGCATGAAATATGATGATGTCATTGTACGTATAGTACAAACATTCAAGCAATCTAGTGGAAGGTTTTACATTGGGGATAAGAACATCCAGATTTTTAGAAGCGACGTATCACTGATTTTTGGGGTGGACTGCGGCACCAAGTCGATGGACCTCTCTTATGGTGCAAAACCAACAACCGGCATCATACACCGAATGTGCAAGGATGTTAGTCGGTTAAGTGCTGCCAAAATACGAGAAATTCTGAGGGAAGCATTGAAGGGCACAAAAAAACATGACGATGAGGAGGTCGCAAGATTAGTTTGCATGTATGCATGCGTCAAGCTATTCTTTTCTACATCCGGAGAAACAATTGGATGGGTTTTCTACTCATACATGGACCCATTACACAAGATGATCGAGTATGATTGGGCTGAGAGCATCCGGGCAACCTTGATGGGTTCATTGGGCCAAAACTGTGGAAAACCAGGACGAGTCACCGGATGTGTGATGTTGTTAATGGTAAATCAAATCTCATACAACTTATTCTATGTTTAATATGAACATATACGGGCTCTGAACACTCTGATGTGAATGTTCACATTTCTCAGCTTTGGTGTGGAAGTTGACAACATTGATGAAAACATTCGCATTACTGTTTCAGTAATGTACAAACACACATTAGTAGATGCTGGTATAAACATTCACATTAACAGATGTGAACATTCACATCAGTTGTACCACTCACATTACCAGATGTGAATATTCACATCAGTAACATCACTCACCATTAGCAAAATGTGAGCATTCACATAGTAATAACACTGACATGAACAGATGTGAACATTCCCATCAGTGTCATCACCCACCATTAGCAAATGGGAACATTCACATCAGTAATAGCACTGACACTAACAGTTGGGAACATTCAGGTCAGTACATCACCCACCATTAGCAAATGTGAACATTCACATCAGTAATAGCACTGACACTAACAGTTGTGAACATTCAGGTCAGTAATATCACTCATATTAACAGTTGTGAACACTCACATCAGTAGTATCACTCAACATTAGGAAATGTGAACATTCACATCAGTAACATTACTCCACATTAGCAGATGTGAACATTCACATCAACGGATGTGAACATTCACATCAGTTTTAAGGGATGTAAACATTCACATTACTGCACCAGTGGTGAACATTACTGGCCTAGCGGTGCACTGTGAACATTCACATTACTGCACCAGTGGTGTAAACATTCACATCAATGTTAATTCATATGAACATTCAAATTATAACTGTTAATTCACATCAATGTTAATTCATATGAACATTCACATCAGTTTTAAGTGATGTAAACATTCACATTACTGGCCTTGTGGTGCACTGTCAACATTCACATTATTGCACCAGTGGTGTAAACATTCACATCAATGCTAATTCATATGAACATTCAAATTACTGATATTTGTTATTTGTTTCAGTATTGGTTGTGTGAGCATACAACAATCTTACAACCCCGCAACCCCAATGCCATTCCACGATGCGTAAAATGGGACCTCACAGCCTTACATAGCAACATGAAGTCCATAACTTTGGCTAAGCTAGGTTTAAATGAGGTAGAAGTACAACCAAATATATTGTGCTTATTCACATAGTGAGACGAGGAACTATCTAACTAACATACTGTCTCGAAATGCAGGTATATGGCGGCGAGCTAATGGCATCACCAACTGAAGCGAAGATGTATCATCATACAAAATTGAATGTGGAGCCAAAACCTGAGATTTTGTCAACTGCAGTAGCAAAGAAAGATGAAAGCAATGAGGATCAAAGCAAAGACAGTCAACGCAGCGATGACAGGGATGCATTTTCTGTCGATGCAGTGGACCTGAATGATGTTGGACATTATATCAACCCCAGCTATAGCACCCCCAATGCTGAGAAAGGAATCATCATAGCACAACCAACTGAGCCCGACATTGTGGAAGTACTCATAAAAGAAAACCAAAAAGCTTGGGCTCTTGTACGGCAATGGGAAGCGAAATACAAACAGTTGGAAGAATCATGGGAGTTGAGGGCAAGGGTGATTGCTGCCCTTGAAGCCAAACTATTTGACCAATCGGGCTCATCCAATGTGGACATGGACATGAAGACTTGCATGGAGTGGAAAGATACAGAAATTCAGCGGCTGACAAAGTTGGTCATCAACTTGGAATGTGAAAAAACAATACTTCAAGACCTTTTTGACGATCAGTCCGTCCACATCATCACTCAAGTTGAAGCACAAAAGGCTCATGACAGCCTTAACAACAATCCCACTGCAGCATTGGAACACATTATCAGCCCCCCATCAAGGGTAAAGCGCATAAAGCAGAAGGTAAGGAAAGAACACAGGTTGGACGAGTTTGAATACCCCAACCTGCCTGGTCAGAAGAAAGGGAAAGAAGGAGCCGAACAGCAATCACATGCAGTCCAAATTGCACAAGATTTAGACAAGCAACCACCAAAAAAGCAGCCAACAAAGTTCAAGAAGTTAACCTTGAACAACAAACTGAAGGTCTGGGCTAACATGAACAAACTCAACAAGCAAAAAGTCCAAAATTTGCACAAGAACGGCGGTGATGAGTAAGTGATCTTACATATCCCCAACTGTTTTTTTTTCCATCATGTTCAGTTCACATACATACTTAATAAATTAGATCATTTCATAAATGTGCAATGTTGACATTAGCATTTTCTGTAATCACAATGCACAGGTTGGTAGTGTGGCGAGGGGACTCAAAGACTAAACATGTGTATTTTGATGACATCATACACCTCATCAAGGAAGAATCAATAACCAACAACGTATGGCAACTGTAAATGTGACACACACACACACACACACACACACACATACACATAGAGTGAAGACACTGTAAATAATGTACTGCCACCCCTCCGGTTCTGCAGGTGATAGATGCTTATGGTGAAATTCTACTTGAACTACAAGGGCTAGTCAACCCAAGTTTGGAAGATTCATCATTCATCTTTACAAGCACATGTTTGGTAACCACTAGACTTTAATTTTGATTATGTTTCAATACATGTGGATGTTCTTCTCAGCATTACATGCTTACATTGTTAAGTTAAATGACATGCAGATGTGAATGTTAACAACAACATAAAATGACCTTTGAGAAGGTTCACATTGACAGATGTGAACATTCACATCATTCGCATTGAAGATTATATGCTTATTATGTTGATAAACTTAAACGATACACACATGTGAACATTCACATCAGTAATATAACTCACATTAACAGATGTGAACATTCACATCAGCAGTATTACTCACATTAACAGATGTGAACATTCACATCAGTAACATCACCCACCATTAGCAAATGGGAACATTCACACCAGTAATATCACTAACATTAACAGATGTGAACATTCACATCAGTAGTATCACTCACCATTAGGAAATGTGAACATTCACATCAGTAACATAACTCCCCATTAGCAGATGAACATTCAAATCAGTAACACCAAACATTGATATAAATACTTGGTACATCATTGTATGCCCTTTGTGTGCAGAAAATCATTGAACAGTACCCCCCCTACAAGAGGAATAAACTAATTGATGTACACATCAAGGAGTATCAAGGCCAGAGATTCTTAATCTTCCCAATACACGACAACTTTCACTGGACAACTGTTGTGTACGACGTGAAAGAGAATGTATGGAGGCATTATAACTCACTGCGCCCAAGAGAAGGCATACATGACCCGCATATTGACAAAGCACAAATACTGGTAAGTGGCTGACAAAAATAATACTTGTCGTGATGTGTAATATTCGAACTTGAACGTATGCCCTATGTTGGTTGGTGCCTAATATGAAATTTCATTGTTGGCAGAGGGACTACATCACAACTTTGGTGCACAACATTGGACCATCATCACCATTATGGACCAATTTATCAAGCCAAAATACTTCGAAAACAATCATATCAGTGGACATCTGTCCTCAGCAAGCATCAAATTCGTAAGCCTAAAATCGATTTCTACACATGTTCCACAACCTTCACCCACCTAAATTTCAAAATCTAACAAGAAGTTTGCATTTTCAGGGTGGATTGTGGGCCTGCAGTTTGTTACATCATGAGCGCGCATGTATATCGTGAAGACATTGTTGCCAGCCTAGATCGCTTTGAATGGTGTCAAATAAGAGACTCATTAGTACACCTTTTTCTGAACCACAAAAAGACAGTGCAATGTGAAAACCTATAGGTGGGGGGTGTCTACCTATCACTGTTACCCAAATCTGTTATCCACATTTAAGACAATTTAGTTTCAATAGATTTTTCATATTGGAGCAGACTAGCTTAATTGTAAATCAAGTCTATATCACTGCTTGTACAGATATTTTCCAGTCAATATATGTATATGCATTTTCAGGCCTATTTTGCGTTGGTCATGCACATTGAGATTGTATTTTCTTTTTATTTTTTTGGATACACATGACATGATGTCAATGTTCACATCACAGAATGAGCGTACACTTTCTTCTATTTTAAACCATACTACATGGATGTGAATATTGCTTAAAGTGTTCATGTAACACAATATGACAGGTGTGATTATGATATTTCTTAACACAAGTCAATATTCACATCTAACAATTTGATGATGTGAATATTCACATCATAACTTCTGATTATGCGAATGGCAACAATAATGTCATGAATATTCACATCTTATGAGTTGATGATGCAAATGGTTACATTGATGTAAACATTGCTGTTAACAGTAACAACAATGTGAACATTCCCACCACAGAAATGTTTGAAAGTTGAACAATGTGAACATTCACATAATGTGATTATATTACATAAGTGTGAATGTTAACAGTATGCATTCATCCAAAACACAACCAACATAAATGTCAGATTGGTACCTTAAAAAAGTAAAAATAAAACACAAATCAAACACTAATGCATTATTATGTTTGCCAACGCAACGTAGTCTTATTGCAACCCAATGTTTCCCAACATAACACAATCTTATTTCGAAAATGAATATAAGAATCCAATGTAAAATACAATGTTGAAATGAAAAAAGGTACATCTTATATCGACTCCGTGCATGATTTTCGATTATGGCTCCCCAACTTATCACATCTCCCGCACCTTATTTGCTTCAGTTTCTCACCCCTTGATGGGATCCTATTCTTCTTCGGCCTTCTGGGTGGTCTTTTCACGGTTGGCGGGTATATAGTGAAGTCAGTGGGATCAAAAGGCGGCTTCTCCACCGATGGTATAGGGAATATGGCTCCCGAATAGGCTGCACGATATGTCTCTACATGAAAGTAATGTTCTACACAATCATTGAGGTTGTAGCGGCTCTTCTGAATGGCAATAACAGCATGGTCACACGGGAATCCGTTGATTTGCCATTTGAAGCAAGAACATGTACGCCTCGCAACATCAACTGTAACAGATGGTATCGAATGAACTTCAAACACATCCTCGTTGGCTTTGCTAACTTGCCAAGACTTGCTGTCATTGAACGAATCCATAAGCCTTGTTTCGAATGTCGGACAAATAATCTCATTCCATTTGTTTGCTTGGTCACGCCGTGCAGACATTTGCCGCATCAACTGAGTACGAATTTTGTCCACCATTTGAGTGATAGGAAGATTACGTGCTTCTTTAATCCAGTTATTAAATGACTCCGCCGCATTGGATGTCATCTCCCCATAACGCATGCCCCTGCACAGTATATCACAAACATCGTACAATACGGAATTTAACAGGCCTGACCATTAATGTTGACAGATGTGAACGTTCACAGTACTGCCATTAGTATACACTGATGTGAACATTCACATCAGGATATAATAATGTGAATGTTCACATCTGCTACCAGGTTTATATAATGTGAATGTTCACATTATATGCTTATTACGTTGTCAACTTAAATGATAGACAGATGTGAATGTTAACAACAACAACAAAATATGACACGTGTCAACATTCAAATCTGTAATACATTGCATGACTATTTGACAAATTAACAGATGTGAACATGACATCAGTCATCATTAGCAGATGTGAACATTCACATCATTCACATCGAACATTGATATAAATACTAGGTACATCATTGTACGCCCTTTGTGTGCAGAAAATCATGCAAGAGTACCCCCCCACAAGAGAAACAAACTGATTGATGTACACATTAATGAGTATCAAGGCCAGAGATTCTTAATCTTCCCAATACACGACAACTTTCACTGGACAATTGTTGTGTACGACGTGAAAGAGAATGTATGGAGGCATTATAACTCACTGCGCCCAAGAGAAGGCATACATGACCCACATATTGACAAAGCACAAATAATTTGGTGGGATTTTATGACTGCGCCATTAATAATTCATTGTTGCTTGTTGAGTCACTGAAAATGTTAACATTCACAGTACTGTTCATTAATAGATCAACTAACATTAGTATACACTGATGTCAACATTCACATAAGAGTGTAATAAGTCTGATGTGAACATTCACATCAGTCTGTAATAATGTGAATGTTCACATTTCTGTCATTAGCATACAAAGGTGTGAACATTCACATCAGTGCATACTAATGTCATTGATGTGAATGTTCACATTACTTATAATTTAGCAATCACTCTTTCGTCCAGACTACGCTGCTCAGAGTGAATATTGACATGAATAGACAGGTAAAAAAAACTTCTAACCATTGTTCCCGTCTTTCGCCGTTGCCGCAAGTAGCTGACCTTTGTACTTTCCTTTGAGGAATGTTCCATCCAGGAATAATAAAGGCGGACAAGCATTGAACCCAGAAATACACGCAGCGAATGACACAAAGAAGCGACAAAACTGTTGACTACTCGCATCATAGTCAATATTGACATAACTCCCCGGATTGTACCGCATCACAGCATCCGAATACCACCGCAACTGGTCAAACGATAACGAGTGATCTCCATGGATACCAGCCTTTGCTTTCTCCACACCCAACCATACGACATGGTAACTCACATCTAGCCCATAATCCCTCTTCAAGATAGTCACCACTTCACACGGCCGAGTCAACGGCTTGTCCCTCACAATTTCAGATATGGTACTCGACACCAAATCCGAACTAACTCGCGGATTCTTCGATGTTCGAACATCCGTACCACAAGTATGCACATCACTAAACCTCTTGATGTAGAAAAAATCATTTGCTCGTTGTGCTCTACAATGTATAGCCCACAAACACCTCCTCTCCTCCCGTATCGCACACACAGCAGTAACTCTTGTTGTCTCGTTCTTCACGTATGTGAACTTAAACCCACATTGGATGGCATACTTACATAAAACGTCACGAAATTCTTGTGCACCTCCAACAAACCGTTGTCCTACATGCGTAATACCATTTGCCCAAGGGGCTGACAACAACACCTTCTCCTTATGGTGGCAAAATCTCCGTAGTGCATCAATTTCATCCTCAACCCCCACACGCAGCAATCCCAAACTACTTGACTGACCAATATCACCCTTCAACTCAACCACAACTTCTACATGTTGTACCCCCATTGATTTAGCAAGCAGTACCATGTTCTGAAATTCTTCCTCATTGTCCAA